TTTTTTTCCCTATCTTTGATGACAGAGGGGGTGCAATCCCCATGAAAGGCGATGAATGGCTGTGGAGGCAGAAAGGCATGAGCAAGTAAGATTGAACCTAAAATGCTCGGTTTGTCACACAAAAAGTCGGTGGTGCTACTCACCTTGTTCTCTCCGAAGATATCTGCAGTGCATAGAACAAGTAGTACGATATCTTGCCCCGTAAACGTATATACTAAACCGGGAAATAAATCCAGTGCACTGCTTACCGCTGCCACATCCCGATCAAAGTGATAACAATTTCGCTCTTCGCATGGAATAGCTCTGGGTTTTATACGACTTCAAGCTTGCTAGGCATCACGAAGGATAGATATAAAGTCATGCCCTCACGTACACCATTTCTGAATCAAATTGAGTATTCCACAGATTAAAACAAAAACCAAAACGAGAAAACCTTCAATACACTATGATTTTATCATCCCATCACCTCTGCTATTTAATACAGTATGCAGAGCTGTATGTGCTAAGGTGCCTCAAATTCCACGATTAGATACATTCGCATTTCTCTTGCATTTCCTCGTTTGGATTCAAGCTGTTCATGCTTTGATCGGGGAAATTCACAATTTGATCCAGAAGTGGTGTAGAGAAAGCATACTATTGTCTAGTCATCGCCACCTTAACTGGTTCACGTAGGTTGTTGAAATCAGTTCAATCCAATAGAAACGAATAGCTAAATATTCTGGAAAGTGATGCCACAAATAATTTACTAAAACAAAGAGTTTCTATTTATTGAGAAGATAACATTACTAGATCGCACGTGGGTAGTTGCCTGTATTAGTACAGCATTGTCTTTTAGTAGAACCCTTATTCTGTAGCTTCAACCTAGACACTATCGGACCGTTGGACAATATGCTCTGGTACAATGTGGTATAAACTATACAAAAGAAAAAGGCAGCTTCAATTAACCACACACTTTGAAGATCGACAGTCCATCAGCTTTGAACATGCAACGCAAGTCCCAAACTCGGGTGGTAATAAAAAGAATCAGATTGCAGAAAGCATCATAGGCCCACTTGATTGAATTCATAATGATATTTTGGTAGAAGGCAATGCGTTCTACAAATGTCCTAAACTGTCCTATTTGCCCTAAAACCGGACTGTAGATTACTTGCAGACAAACAGAAAAAGTTACAAGTTTAGGACGTTACGACAAGTTTTAGGACAATTCTGCCGAAATCTATGCGGTCTAAAAGGACACTCGACCGAGTACTATTAACGGGATATCTTCTAAAAGAATGTGTTTAGACCTGACTCTGTATTACGATTTCGCATTATCTGGCACGCGTCGACTACAGTTTCTAGACGAAGCAAGCATAGCTGGCCGGAACAACCGGTTGCACCGGTGGAGTATGATGAGGGACCGATTGACGACCATGCTTGATATCGATGATCAGTCGAATGTAGCGTTCTGCCTCCTTCTTGGTTCCTTCAATAAAGGCAAGAAGGCTTGGATGCGTACCGAGCCGCGACGCAAAGTCACGGTTGTTCTTTTCCAATGGATTATTGGTTCGGTTGATGATATCAACTTCGTACCGCACCATTTCCTGGACGTTCCACTTCGTTGCGTCGTACCGCTCCATCCAAGTCTTCACAAAGTACCTCCAGAAGTCGTTCCACATGCCTTTGGCGCGAGACTCGTCGATACAACTCCGCACATAGCGAATTCCCTCCATAATTCAAATTTAAAATTTGGTTAGCATCAAATATTGGACACGACTAAATTACAAAATTAAAAGCCCTCACCTTTTTTCCGGATTTCGTCCACGGGGATGCGAGTTAGTGTATCCAACTTGCCGGAGCTGAGCGCATCTTTTATTTGGTCCTCAGGAATGCGCAGATCCACCATTGCGACGGAGTGCCTGTTATCAATGGAATAGGCACCCAACGAGATTGGCACGAGGAAAGTGCTCCAGCACTGCATTAATTAGAGCAACTTCAAAGTCACATGTGACATTTTGAGGCTCAAGCTGGCTGTTACTCAAGGTGATGAGCACATTTAACACTCTCCAATAGGTCTCTTGTGACTTGTTCTGCACCAGGACGTCGCGGATCGGCAGGTAGAGGTCTACAGCCGGCTCATAGGCCATCACAGTGAGGCACTGGCTGAACGGCTTCGGCACGACCGAAAAGGTCCCATCCACGAAAACCGTGATTTTGGATAAACGTAAAATTCGGCCTAGATTCGTTGTGAGACAGACCGATCATTCGCAGCATTCCGGTGGTCGATGGCGTAGGGTAGACCACACTGAACTGCAGAAAGGCTCTCGAATCCGTGTCGCTAACGCAGCACACAGGTTCCGTGGCGATGGTCTAAAAGGCGTCGTCGTCGGAGCAGTCTTGGCGCGTGTGCTTCACAACGCTGACGGCTACAGAACACGGGATAATTGTCAACGCTGTCTAGTCTCCGACATAACGCTCTCTTAAACCGTCGTACACCTCCTGCCAGATAACCGGTGGTGGCGTCACTCTGTCTAGAGCACTGCGGTGTTGGAGCTGAAGCCGTATCTCCTGGCGCACGTCTGTAACCCTCTCAGAACGACGCACCTCGAAAGTGTGCATGCTCTTGTCGGCCATTATATCCCATCTCTCACAATTACTTTATCTTTTCATCCTTGTCGAAATTTCTTGCAACTGTAGTAAATAGTGCTCGTTTCAGTACACGTGCGCTTCGCACAGAACGAATACCCTCCGTGCTCCATAGTTTGAGTGAGATGGTCGTCCTCGGAAGCTTGTTTTGGTTTGAGTGGCTAAGGTGGGTTTCTAAAGTTTGATGTAGCATTCATAATATTACGCACAACAGGTTTTGGACAGGTTTTAGGATGCAATACATTTCAGTCTGTACGACAGGATTATATCATTTTAGGACAAAACTGCGAATTTATGGAAAATACTTTAGGACAAATAACGGATAACGCCAAATAGTGCATCTGTGCCAATTAAAGTGTCCCCTGTCATATCGAATCGATCTGTTGACTATACAATATCTACAATTCCCACTCACAATTGAATACCCACGTTGGATTCTAGGGCACGTCGTTTTGATTTGTGAGCTGCACAACCATTACCATTATCCATTTTACTGTCCTCTCCGCACTCACATCCTCGCCAAGCATTACCATGCCAGCGTCTCGTCTCGCCAAGACCATGTCCGAGAAGAAAGAAGTCGTTACCTGGATCGAGTAACACGGCGAAGCCCCGGCATGAGCTGCCACGTTCTTTCAGAACGAACGCGGGTGGAAAATCTCGGCTGCACAAGTCCACTATTGGTCAAAGCAGAGGGATGTCATTAAAAAGGCCCCGGTCTCCAACCTCCGTCTCAAGGGCGCTGGAGCAAGCCGCGCTTAGCCGGGATAGAGGACATGATCTTCGATCAAGTTTTCTTTCTCAGATCGGAAAAGAAAAAGGTCTCGAGATCCTTCGTTGTCGAGATGGGCAAGCAGCTCGCTCGCTCGGAACAGCACGACGACTCCTTTGTAGGCTCGAACAAGTGGGTTGACGGCTTTATGCAGCGCTACAATCTATCCCTGCGTCGGACGACCAACCTCACGACGCTCACTGACGATGTGCTAACCGACCGGGCCGTGCGCTACATGGAATATCTGTCGCCACGGGTTGATGCGTTAAGTCTAGACCACACTGTCCTGATGGACGAAACCGCAGTGTATTTTGAAGATCCGCGCCGCCAGACCATCGACGCCACCGGAGCCCGTCATGTGGTACTGAAGTCCACTGGCTTTGCTTCAATGCGGGTGACTGCAGTCATTGCTGTGTCTGCGTCGGGTCGCAAGCTACCGCCACTCGTCGTGTGAAAAGGCGCTCGTCAAGATGGTGCAATTGACAGGATTGGAAACACGTATGTCACGTATCAAAAACGAGCATGGGTTGACTCACAGTTGCTGATCAAGTGGCTTGATGTTGCTTTTCCACCAGTTCTGGATGCAGCTACACCGATGAAAGCCGTCGTGTGGGATTCGATGCGCGCCCACGTGTCGAAGGCTGTGAAGGCGCAGTTTGCTAAGAAAAGGATTGAGATGTTTGTTATTCCCGGTGGGTTGACGCCGTACGTTCAAGCCGGAGACATCGGGATTTACACATCTTTCAAGGATAAACTTTCTGGCATCATCGACGATTGGAAGTCGTCTGACCGCATCGTGTACACGAAGGGCGGGAACCCGAAGCAACCTCCAGTGGAAAATGTGGCGCAGTGGGTGCAGACCGCCTGGAAGGATGTATCAGACGACGTCGTTTCCCGCTCTGTCGCGGCGGCCGAATTCTCTCGATGCTATCAAGACTGGCATATTAACCGCCACGACGTGTACGGTGAGCTGTTTTGCCGCAAGTGGCTGTCTCGTGGCGATGATTCCGAAGCCGACGACGTTGAGGAAAAGCTGCTCGAAAACCTGGATGACTTTACGATTTGGGATTCAGAAGCATCTGCCTAAGCAGGCTCAGTAGTGTGCTACCTCCATTTTGTATACCCTGCTGCCCCTGGGGCGTCGTTTATTCGATTGAATACAGCACACAATTTGGCGTTATCCGTTAGGACAGCTTAGGACATTTGTAGGACGCATTACCCTGCACCGATATTTTCCATACGCACATAAAATCTTTACTGCTGTACATTTTACCAATCTCTCGTAGGTTGTTCACGGGCCGAATCAGCCGCAAAGAAGCGGTAGAACAGGTCGAATAGTATAATTTTAGATACGTTGAGTTTTAGCTAAAATAGTTAAAATCTCAAATTGCCACTTTCAACCATTATGCTGTAGTTTCCTCCAACTACGGTCCCAACGCAGATACACGCCCCCGTCGTAACGCATTCGCATACACGAGGCTACTTTCGAGTGACATCAAGGTCACGGTTTCGACGGCATGCTACCAGTAGCTCAAGCATCACGTAACGACCAACTGAACTTCCTTCCAAAGGAAGCCAGCCCACTCGTAATTTCGCCGGGCCTGTTACCCCTGTCGCGATGAAACTCCGTCACTGCAAGGGCCTTCGCACCTTGCTCCTGAGCTCCGCACTCTACTATCAAGGGATGTGCACGAAGCGGTATTCCTCGAGCTCCCGTGGTCTCTCTCCGGCATCCCCACAAGGATTGCTACACACTCTGCTACCCGCCTTAATATCCGCTTACGCCGCTGGAAATACACAACGCTCTAGCGACCTACATTCGTTGTATGCTGGATAGAAACCCCGTCACTTTGGCGCAACCTCATATATTAGTCTTGATCCGCCACTAACCAGCAACAAAAATCAACTGACGGTCGAGTCTGCGATACCGCAGCTCGTTACCTTCCTATCTCCACCCCTTCGCCTAGCTACACTTGACGTCTACCCAGAATAGTGTAAGCATCCGCCATATCTGCAGTCGATAAGCTCGACTTAGACAAGATATAAGTTGACATACCAGCGCTAGCGTCTGCCACAAATGTATTAATCCAGTTAAGTCTGTCCCAACGTAAGAGTCCCTACTTCTACACTACACGACTGAGTTTTGCAGTGTACCCACAGGACAATGTCTTTCCACTTTCAGTCAGTAGAAGTTTGGCGCGAAACTCGGATCAAGAATGGAATTGTGTCTACTGCGCTGATGCTGTGTTTGGACGAAGTGGTCATCAACCACGACAAGGAGGTTGCGGAAGCTCAGCATAAAGACTTCCAGCTCCTAATTGATGAGGTCTGGAAGGTGGCAATGCGCTCGCAGCACTACCTGACGGTACGGTGCCTTGATAGGCCTTCTGAGTCAGTCTGGATGGCGCTATACGCGTTTGGCGACGACAGGAACTTTTTAAACACTACAAGTTTGACGAGGCACGTGGCTACTTGTCTGTCGATGAGGTTCGAAGAATGTACTAACTGTGTACTCTTTGTGCAAACTGCAGATCGGCGTTCTCCCAGCTCTTACAACGCTTCTCCCAGTTCTATCGTATGTCTTCTTCATCTTCCTGAGGCCGACCACAGCGCAGCTTCCAATGCAGAGCTGAGTGGACGAGGTGAGCCATGGCTTCTAGAACAAGAGCTTCATAAAAACTGAGAAGTGTCTGTATGGCACCCACCTGTCACCTCCAGAGGCAAATTGCCGACTGAGCACCAAACTGAGAAGTCGCAAAAAATCGCAAAAAATATAAGTCATTGCAGAGTTATGACTGTTGTAGAGGAGTGATGGTAATACTAAACTACTAACGCCGTGCTAGCACGGTAAAGCTCTGGATTTTACATATAAGAACATGACTTGTACCAGAAACTTTAGATTATTATTTTAATTTTTTCTATACCATTTTTTGAAGTTGTACATGTATTAAATAGAAACTACCATTGTTTTACTAATACTTAATTTTTAAACTTAAAGGTTTTACGTGTAATTCCAAATGCATCTTGACATATAAAAAAAATAATTTGGTCAAAACCTAGTGAGATTACAACTTGTTGGGTTAGTGGGGATCTTCATCAGCCGCAAACGCAAGCGAGTTTACTACCCCCAGCAGACTGTGGTGACTGAAATGGAGTAGTCTTCTATCATCCACCGAGAGACCCACAACAAGACACTTCCTGCTTGGATTCGCTCAGTTCAGCAGACATCTTCGCAGTCAAAAACCCAGGAAGAACCAGTGAGCCTTAGCGCGCTCGTCCAGTTTCATTTGCATCCAAGTTTTCAGTATATGATCCAGACGACGCATCCAGTCGAGATCTGCGTGGACGAATTTCCTGTAGGATGATTGCATGGACAGAAGTTACCGTCGTAACGAGGACCAACTCCGTATTACGCCAGCACCACAGCAAAGGAATATCTAGGTGCTAGAATTTCCAGTAGGATGATTGCATGGTCACTACTCACGGTCGAAGACCA